GTTATTCTGGCTACCGGTGCATATGTATCAAAGTAATCAATACCATGTTTTTGTTTAAAGCCTTGTGCAACCAATCTAGCTTTAAACTTGTCAATGGTACCCTCTACTTTCATTTTATTCTTGAAAATCCATTTACAACCGATTGGTGTGCAACCGGGTGGTAAATCACTTAGAACCCAAGTATTATTGCCCATGATTGAATCCATTTCATCGTTCACGGCCTCTTTCCAAAATGAAGCATCTTGTTATTTCATTGCCTCATCAAAAGAGTTAGGATCCTTCTCAACACTATAACAATATAGTGTTTGAGTTACGAGGGTCTCTCTTGATCCTTCAACCAAATATAATTGGAAATCAGGACCAAATGACTTTTCTTTTCTACCCCTCTTACTCCGTCTATCTTCAGGATCATTTTCATGATCCTTTTCCAGTTCATGAAAATATGAATTACTTGGACTGAGATCGACATCCTTTGGCCTAGGAATAGAAGTGAACCGCTTCTCATCGAAAAGAGCATCCCTAGACTCAATAACAATATGAACCGCAATTGAGTCATTCGGTTCAATAACATAGAATCGATATGATTTACTATGTTCAGCATATCCAATAAATATACACTCTATCCCCTTTTCACCTAACATTTTTCATTTAGGTTCGGTAATCTCACGATTGCCCTACAACCCCATACCCTAAGATAACTTAGTTGGGGTGTTCTCTTGTGTCAAAGTTCATATGGGGTTATTTTATTTCTCTTGTTAGGAACTCGATTAAGAATATAACAAGCAGTTAACATAGCATCACCCCAAAATCCATTACTTAAGCCCAAAATAGACAACATGGAATTAACCATTTCTTTTAAAGTTCTATTTTTTCTTTCAGCTATGTCGTTTTGTTGCGGCGTGTAAGGGGCTGTTGTTTCATGGATTATTCCAACGGATTCAAAAAATTTAGGCTCATAATATTCTCCTCCTTTGTCAGTTCTAAGCCTTTTTACTTTCTTTCCGGTTTCTAACTCAACTTCCGTTTTAAAAACTCTGAATTTATCCATTGCCTCATCTTTTGAAAATAAAAGGTATATGTAACAATATCTTGTACAATCATCAATAAATGTGACTACATATTTTTTATTTCCAAAAGAAGGAGTGCTATGGAAATCACACAAATCACTATGAACTAATTCAAGCATGTTGGATTTTCTTTCAACATTTTGAAAAGAGTTTCTAGTGATTTTGTTTAACATGCAAGTTCTACATTTTTCTATGTTCATATTAAAAGGAGGAATTAAACCTATTTTAGACATGTCACTAAGTCTACGATAATTAACATGACATAACCTATTGTGCCATAAAGAAGAATCACAAACCATATACACAGAATTAACAACTTTATTTACAACACTTAGTTTGAACATGCCATTACAATAGAAACCTTGGCCAACAAATACACCACCCTTAGATAAAATAAACTTATTTGCTTCAAAGCTAAGTTTAAACCCAAAGTTATTTAGGATGCCACCGGAGACAAGATTTTTCCGGATTTGTGGTACAAAGTACACATCATCAAGAATTAATTTCTTTCCGGAAGTTAATTCCAACTCTACCTGCCCAATTCCTTGAATTTGCACAGTAGAGTCATTTCCATGTATAAGATTGGCCCCTCTTGCAACTCTTTTAAAGTCTTAAAAGCTTGCCTATCTTTACATGCATGCCTTGTGGCTCCGGTGTCGATCCACCAAGATTGATCATCCTGCACAACACAAATTTCAGAAAGCATAGCTACAAAAATCATGTTGTTATCAACATCATTTGTAACTATAAAAAGATTCTGACCTTGGTTGTCTTGGCCACCATTTGGATGACCGTTCGGTTGAGCTTTCTTCTTCTTCACCTTCGGGCAGTCCCTCTTGAAGTGTGGACCACCACATTCCCAACAAGAGCATACTTTCTTATCTTTCGGCTTCTTTTGAAACTTGGAACCCTTGGTGAATTTTCCGGGACGTTTTTTATTTTTCTTAGTCCCACTTGACTGTCCCTCCTCCATAACATTTATAGAGGAAATTGGAAGATCATTCTTTTTACCGTTGTCACCTTCACGCAACTTAATGCCTTCTTCAATTTGAAGTCGGTGACCAAATTGCTCCATTGACAAATCCTCCTTTTTGCGTTTGAGGCTATTTTTCACTTCCTTCCATGAAGGTGGTAATTTGTCGATTATAGAACCGACCGCAAAGGTTTCATTAACATGCATGGTATTAATCAAAAGTTGTAAGGAATAAATGTAATTAGATTTTGATGATGCTAGGTTGATTAGAATTTGAAAGTACCCCTATAGAAATTTTGTATTAGAATTTGTCTGTGTATGTACTAGAATAGTCGACATGCCAGAAACCCTCTTGGTCTTCCTTATCAGAACTTCTACCAGAGTTGCTCCCAGAGTTGCTCTCCAGAGAAGCCATCAGAGTTGGATACCAGAGTTGGCATCAGAAGTTGCCATCAGAGTTCTGATCAGAAAACCTCATCAGACAAGCTCTTACCTTGCAGAACTCGAAGGCACTTACCAACGGTCGTTAAACTAACGGGAAATTCCCTAACGGCTAGGAACCTTTCGACGGGAACAAGGTACTGTAAACGCATTAAATGCTCAATTAATGTTGTACGTACGAAGATTTATTTAAAGCTGATGATTGACCATGCGAGTATCTTCACGCCCCCAAAATAGCAAATCGAAGGTCCAATCGGTCAAGTCAACAGTACAAGCATTTAATGAAGCTGTCTTCTACACTCCAACGGGAAGACTGCTCCCAGTATATAAGATACACTCTGAAGAATTACTAGGAGAACTTTGCTATAACATTTTACCAACGAACTTGCTCAGATTATTCTACTCTGAACCAAATACCTCCAAGCTTTCTTGAGATCAAAGACTCACTTACCTCAACAAGAAAAGCTCAAGTTGGAAGATATACCTTCTTATCTCTCATCCAACTAGCAAGTTGCAAAGTTTCTCAGTTCTTCCACACTTCAAAAACTTCATCTACACATCTTTTGTAAAGAAGCAACGTTGGAGAAAACTGATTTTGATTCAAACACTTCTTGAAAAAGAAGGGGCGTCTCAAACTAACTGGAGTAAGTGAAGTGGTGATACTTCCAAGAGACTCAGTGAAACGAGACCAGCCATCAGGAAGCAGGACTGCATCCCGGGTGGCAACTAGGCTTGAAGAAGACGTGGAGAGCTTCTTAAGTTCTAGGGACTAAGGCGTTGTAAACTGTTGTTTTTGCAAGCTTAGTGGAACAGTGGACTAGAGGAACAAGTTTTTCCTTGAACCACTATAAAAATCCCCAGTGTCACTTACTTTACTTATCTCATTTCTACACTTAAGAACTTGACTGCATAACTCAAAAGGTTGGACTCTGTGTTCAGCAGATTTTCCTCAAGAGTTATCAGAAAGGCATTTGCCTTAGTGTTGTCTGAGGCTACCCGGACAGAATCTAATCCGCTGCCAGGTCCAGTTCTGCCATCAGAACTTGACCTTCTCTGTCACCAGAATTCGACCATCTCTGATAAGTCAGTTGTGACTTAGAGAAAAGTTTAAATTCCTGAACAGTCTATTCACCTCCCCCTCTAGACTATTCCCATTACAAACGGGACCAACAAAGGTTGTTCATATAAACGCTGAATCTCATGAAATTGCTCCATGACCGGACGAGAATCCACCATTTTGTAACTATTAAAGTTACTAATGAGAAATTTCTTACTTGAAGCATCTTAGGTCATATATTTGGATTCAAGAGATTCCCACAACGTTTTCGCATATTCAACATTTTTATACACATCAAATAGAGAATCGCACATACCGTTCAAAATGTGCCCACGACAAATGTAGTCGTCATTATCCCACTTTATGCGGCGGCGGCTTGTCTCCAAAGACTCGTTTTCTTCTTCCTCGAGCGGCCTCGAGGTGCTTAACACATAGACAACTTTCAAAGTAGTGAGCAGAAAATGCATCTTTTTTTGCCACCTTCGAAATTCCACACCTTCAAACTTTTCCAATTTTTGAAAATTGGTGTTGATATCACGTTGCGTAGCGGCCATATTTTCGGATTAGAAAACTTTTAGATTGTTAGAACTGGCGGATAAACATAGTAAAATATAAGGGTGTAAAAATATGGTTGGACCGGATATCACTTCTAGTCACGTATAAAATACGCTTTCCTAAAAGTTTACTATCTACCCTTATCACAGTAACCGGGTTACAAGATAGAACTTTTGGGATAAAAAGAAGGTGCACAAGTGTATTTTAGCTACCGATAAAATAACACTTAACAAGTGATTTTTATATATGAAGTGGTCTAAACACTTTATTACTAATACTGCAGATAAGAGTAATAGAGTAAGGCAAATAGAGTAAGGTTGACAAACTGGTTTTTCCCTACCTCTCAATTTTACATGGTCCTTCTATTTATAATGAAAACGGAACCCTTTGAAAAAGGTAGTTAAAAAAACAAACGAAATGCTCTTTCGTTGAAAAGGTGCGGCCATTTTAATATACGTGTCTACTAAGCAATGAAATTCTAAAATTCTTTTAATAAAAGAATCCCAATTCAAATAAGCAAAATATACACATCCGTATATTTAAAAATGTGCAACATCCATTAAAATGGAAAGAGAGCATTTACATAATAAAGCCACATTATTATTATGAGACCATACATACACGTGCACAAGTGTGATTCTCATAATAATAACAACCATTAGACCAATACGATTAAATTTTTTAAATAAAAATAACATTTCTTTATAAAATGTTTAAGGACCAAATAAATTCATACTTGAGTTGTATTTTTCAATAAATCTCCAACAAGCACATCATGAAAATGTCTGATATGTCCAACAAACTCAAAAGTATGGACATGGAGATAAGTGAAGGTTTCCTCGTTCATTTCATAATGACTTCTCTACCTGCATCTTATGGTCCATTCAAGATTAATTACAACACGCAGAAAGATAAGTGGACAATGAGCGAGTTGATTGCTATGTGTGTTCAAGAAGAAGAGCGCCTAAAAGTTGAAAAACTGGATGTTGCTCATCTCACCATCACAAACTCAAAGAAAAGGAAAGGCAATTGTCAAGGAGGAGGAAAAGGTCATGTTTCTAAGGTCCCAAAAATAGGTGCAAATGTGAGCTCCGGTCCATACTGTAAGTTTTGTTGCTTCAAAGGGCATTACCGGAGGGAGTGCCCTAAGTTTAAGGCATGGCTGACTAAGAAAGGTAACTTAACCACTTATGTAATTTATGAGTCATTGAACACATCAATTCCCCTTAATACTTGGTGGATTGACTCCGGTTCAATGGTTCATGTTTCAAACACACTGCAGGGATTCCATTCAATCCGGACATTGGGAAGAAAGCAAAGAGTGATTAAGGTGGGCAACCGAGGAGAATTAGAAGTAGATGCCATTGGAACTATCTCATTAATTTTAGAGAGTGGCTTCATTCTTTATCTTCATGATGCTCTTTATGTACCTAAAATTACTCGTAAATTAGTGTCTGTATCGAAACTAAGTGCTGATGGTTTTACATTTAATTTCGTATACAATAAAGTGACATTAAGCTTGAACTCAAATGTAATAGGATTTGGTACCATGGAGGGAAACCTCTATAAATTATGCTTCGATACTAATTTTATGGAATCCTCATTGTCATTTAATATAACTGAAAATCATTGCAAGAGAAAGAGAGAATTGAAATCGTCGTCCAATTTGTGGCATCAAAGGTTGGACCACATATCACGAGATTGAATGATAAGACTCGTGCAGGTCACCGGGCGGGGCGGGGCGGACCTGCCCCGTCAAGTCACGTGACGGGTCTGGGTCTTGTAGTACATGTCCCGCCCTACCCATTGCCATGTCTAAATATACGGAGTATGTATACACTTACGGGTACAAGTATCATGTATTCCTCATGATGTCTGTGTATGACTACGATCGATTGGGAGTCTATTTGACAGCATGCAGTTGTTTCCAAGATTAAGTAAATTTTTATTAAGAGGATCACAATTTCGAATACACACACATGTGTGTGGTGTGTGTAGAGTTCCATTCTAATAAAAAGTAATCTTAAAATACAAAATGCAAACGTCTCTACTTTTGAGCATCTGAGTTGCACTATTACATTGAATTTTTTTCATCATCCACTTTTGATCCTTTATGGTAAACAATTGCACGCAGGAAGTCCACATTTTCCAAAGAGGAAAAACTTGGGTTTATTTACAAAAATGCCACCGCTTTTTTCATACACTTAGATCCTAAATCCGATGCTACAAATTTATTCTTACTTTTCATGGTAAGGACTATTTGTATTTGATCCTATACACACACACACACACACACACAAATGATCAGGTCCGAACGTTTGGACCTGATCCTCCGTCGGAACACCGCCGTTCGGGGTGGTTACCGATCAAATATTTTTATCAAATTTTTATGGTATGTTCTTCATCAAGTCTAGTTTATCCACAAAACATTTCAGCTCAAAATTGGATCGGGAAAGTCTTCAAAGGATTTTTTGAAGTTGACTGCGTTTTTCTATGTATAATTTGGCGCAGTCAACTTAGAAAAAACATTTGAAAGCCTTTTCGATCGCATTGTGAGATGAAATTTGGTATGGAGAAACTAGACTTGATGAAGAAAATACCATAAAAATTTCATCAAAATATTCCACCGGGAACCACCCCAAATGGCGGTGTTAGAAAGGTTCTCGGACGGGGAATGTTCGTACTTAACATTCCTCTATATATATATATATATATATATATATATATATATATATATATATATATATATATATATATATATATATATATATATATATAGGGGGAGATCCCATGCAAACCAAGCTTCTGGTGCAAACCTACAATCCAAAAACATTCGCTGGATTTAAAATGTGGACGGTTGATGCATGTGGGATGCATTATTGAAACGCTGCACTCAGCCGTATGTGATAAAAACGGATAAGATGATTTGGTTAATTAAAAGGTCATAGAGGTAATTTAATAAAACAAAAACAAACCCGTCCCATTAAATGATGATGTACTCTAGCAACATGCGTTCTTTTATTTAGGAAGGTTTGAGATATGAAATCATTGATTTTACTCAGAGCATCTTCAATGCTACAATGTGCCCGGTGCACATGTGGTAGGAGAGAGATAGACACAAAAGATTAAATTAATGACATTTCTCTCTCCTTCTTTCCACGACCTTATGTGTTTTTGATAAGTTTTTCTCAACAATGTCAACCACAATGTCTACATCTAGACATTGTGTTTGACATTGTAGAGAAAAACTTACCAAAAACATATAAGATCATTCAAATAAGGAGAGAGATATTCTATTTGTTGTTTTTTAATTGACTATCTGCAATGCCACGTATGCACCGTTCATGTTTTTGCATTAGAGATGCTCTCACACCTCTTATTTAATTAACCGTCAATTAATAACCTTCCGTTTTTGAATGATGAATTCTAATTAAAGAAGAAAGATATTACTTCATAATTAACTTTCTATTTTTTAATAATAAAAAAAGGTACGTTGGAGAGGTCTAAATTGTAGAAGTTAATTTATAGAATGAAACGATTCATAATAAATTATCCATTTTGAAGCACAACGTATTTACTTGAAGTGCATAATAAGGCTATGTGATACGCATATTAAGGTTATATGATGTGCATATTAATGTCATGTGATATGCATATTAAAAATGCAAGATGTGCATTATACATTCATAATATCTACATAACTTATATTAGAAGTATATAGCTATAAAATATGTCGACGTTGCATTTTAGGATTTCATATGTTGCATTATATCATCATGACATGTGCATTTTAAAAGTTCGTACATTGCACTTAAGTAAGATGATATGTGCTCTTTAATAGTTCATATTGCATCTTATCGTTATGACATTTGCATTTTTAGTTCACATGTTGCATTTTATTATTATGACATGTGCATTTTGGAAGTTCGTATATTACACTTTAGTAAGATGGTAAGTGCACTTTAATACTCTCTTTGTACCTCTATAATTGTCTCATTTTATATAATATGTGCATTTTAGAAGTTCATATTGCATCTTTCAGTTATGACTTCTGCATGTTAATAGTTTATATGTTGCATGATTTTATCATTATGACACATGCATTTTACAAATATATGTATTGCATTTTAGTAGTAAGATTCCATGTGCACCGTATGAGACAATTTGCTGCATCTTATCGTTATGACATTTGCATTGTATACTCTGTTAAACCCAATATAAAAGAATCAAACAACCATAGCAGTGATAAAGAAGCAGATAGAAAGAAATCGAGAAGATGAACTGAATCTGGTATACCGTATAAAACCCCGCTGCTCTCCCTGGAGAAGGAGAGCAGCGGAAACCCTTCTCTCTATCTCGCCTCTACGCTCTCTAAGCCTCTGTCTTTTTCGATCATTAGGGCTCCCGTAAGTTAGCCTCCTTTTATAGGAGAAGTTGGCTAACTTACGGGTTACAAGGAAGCCCCCGGGCTGCTACACATTTGTGGCCCGTATTACACGTTTAATTGATAACTACACAAATATAAAGATAACTACCTAGATTGAACACCATAAAATATTCCCAACAATCTCCCCCTTGGTGATCAATCGTGTTAAATCAGCATTGCAACGCAGATATCTTAGTCTTTGTTGTTATTCAGCTTCCTTTTCATTTGAACTTGCCTTCTGAGGAAGGCTACACGAAGAAATCCTTGCAATCTCCCCTTTGATGTCTTCTTGACAATTTGATCTTTGATGTCGGGGGTTGAGGGACCTTCTGAATCTTACATGTAGTCCTTGCCTTCCAGAAGTTGATCTTGATCAGCTTGGATGAAGTCCGGTGACGCCTCTAGAATGATAGTTCTTATTAGTTTCAGACGCCCATGGAATTCATCTTCAGAGTTTGATTATCTGACCTCTGTCTCCTCCACAATGTAGTCTTTTTGACTATTTGAAATGAATACTTTTGAGGAGAACTTGTCGGTGGCACAGCGGAACATAATGATTGTTGATTTGTGAGTGTAGCTGACCATTTGATTTGAGTTGTAGAGATAGCAGAGAAGGTGTTGATTTTTGTGATGGAGGAGTGAAGTGTCCCAGAATGATTTGTTCCGTGTTAACAGCATGTGGACCACTCTCCCCCTCATGACGATCCGATGAATCGGGACGTCATGCTTTTATTCTTTTATTCTGCGGAAATAAAAACAGGAAAAAAAAGCAGAACGTAGTTCTCCTCAAAAGCATTCATTTCAAAGAGTCAAAAAGACTATATTGTGGAGGAGACAGAGGTCAGATAATCAAACTCTGAAGATGAATTCCATGGGCATCTGAAACAAATCAGAACTATCATTCTAGAGGCGTCACCGGACTTCATCCAAGCTGATCAAGAGCAACTTCTTGAAGGCAAGGACTACATGCAATATTCAGAAGGTCCCTCAACCCCCGGCATCAAAGATCAAATTGTCAAGAAGACATCAAAGGGGAGATTGCAAGGATTTCTTCGTGTAGCCTTCCTCAGAAGTCAAGTTCAAATGAAAAGGAAGCTGAAAAACAACAAAGACAAAGATATCTGCGCTGCAATGCTGATTTAACACGATTGATCACCAATGGGAGATTGTTGGGAATATTTTATGGTGTTCAATCTAGTTAGTTATCTTTGTATTTGTGTAGTTATCAATTAAACGTGTAATACGGGCCACAAATGTGTATCAGCCCGGGGGGGCTTCCTTGTAACTCGTAAGTTAGCCAACTTCTCCTATAAAAGGAGGCTAACTTACGGGAACCCTAATGATCGAAAAAGACAGAGGCTTAGAGAGCGTAGAGGCGAGATAGAGAGAAGGGTTTCCGCTGCTCTCCTTCTCCAAGGAGAGCAGCGGGATTTTATACGGTATACCAGATTCGGTTCATCTTCTCGATATCTTTCTATCTGCTTCTTTATCACTGATATGGTTGTTTGATTCTTTAATATTGGGTTTAACAGTGTTAAAGGTGTTTCATGAATAATTTTTTTTAGGCTCTGGCGATTTTGAAGGCACATGACTGCGATATCTTGTATGGTGGTGGATCCGCCACTACCACCAAACCCTTGGGCATGGAAGTCATTCACAGAAGTTGTAGGAGGACAACAAGCACATCTCTCTGCTAAACAGTCACGATTTAAAGGGATGCCCTCAATTTCTTTCTCTGAGGGAGATGTCAAAGTACTTGCTAAAAACATAATAGGGATTTGATCGGATACTTCTTCAAAGGAAAACCATCGCTATCAGTGATTCGTAAGTCATTTGAGATTATAGGCTTCAAAGGTTCATTTCATCTTGAGGTTTTGGATAATAAACATGTACTCATTCGATTTACAATGGAGGAGGATTTCTTACATTGTTGGACTAGACAATCATGGATTATTCAAGGACATGTGATGCAGGTAACCAAATGGACCCCGGAGTTTCATCCTAA